GTTTCGATACCCGTGGTGGGCAGAGCACAGATAGCCCTTTGTGTAGCTTTGTGCCTAATTACAAACAAACACTAAAAAAAAAAAACACGATTACCCTTAATCAACACTCTCTACATTGTAAAAAAAAGGACGTTTACCATTAATTAAAGCTCGTCACACTGTAAGAAAAAATTTTAGTTTAACTAAAACCCTTCTGTAAGAAAAGCCGTTTTGTTTAGCTTTGTCTTCGCGTTATAAAAAAAAAAGTTATATCTTGTAAAGAAGAATTAGTTTAGCTAAAACTATTCATACTCTAAAAATGGAAATTTGTAAACTCTGCACATTCTAAAAAAAGAACTTTTATTTTCAGCTTAAACTTTTCCAAAGTAATAAAAGAAGTATAAGTTGAAGTTAAAACTATCCACTTATTTCAAACATATAAACATAGATTATACCTAATGAATTATTAAAATAGAAGCTTAAGTTAAAATTCTCTACCTCGTAAGTTATTTATTTATTTTATTGAGATGCTCAATAGAAACCCGTATGGGTAAAACTGCGTAATGTTTGGTACATGTACTAACCGATTATCCACACATTATAGCGTTAGTTTTTATCACTACATGTCCATGCCCAGCTTCCTGTATTGTAACCCTAGCAACAGTAGTCCTCTTCCTTTGCTCGATCTATCAGAAACATAATAATAAATGAAACTTAAATAAAGTTTACGAATAATAAAAGCTTTTTATTAGTACTAGCTGGAATACACCACGTAACATCTTGCTGTAAAACAATGTGACTAAATGAACATTTAAAATGTTTCTATTACAGAACCACACCCTTAGAAATTGTTATATATGTACCTGTAATACATTGCCACTTGTTAATATATCAAAGCTAATTTCTCGTATTAGATGATAAGTATTTTGAATTTTTGTGATGATTTGATTTTAAACTACTGGATGCCATTACTAGCAATACGAAATTATTCTTCTACAATGTTTACCTTAACATATACTGAACCGCTGCTTTATCTGTAAAAATGTTATTGTTATTTACTGTTGTTATAATTGTTTTGTTTTAAACCACTCGTTATTTGCTTTGAGTTTAAATAAACTGTAGCTGCTTCAATGTAATATTTATTATTTTTTCCTTCTTTTTTATTGAAAACTTACTTCAGTAAAACAAGGTTTCCAGAACCGTTTTCTTCTGCTGCTCATTTTCTACGAGTCTGTTCAGACCCTGGTCCAAGCCAACGGACACTTAGAAGAATTTATTTTAGCGAGTAAGTTGGGTTGTTTGAAAAATGTCTTCCCATTGTCCATTATGTTAACTATGTTTAAGAGTTTCGATACTTTCAAGTTATTGTTGCATCATTTTTTTATTTGGTACTAAAGTTGTTACATATTGTAGTTACATTTTATGCAGCTTCAACAATGTCAGGAAAGTTTCACATTTTCCAATAAGCTGCGGTATGAACAATGGTGAGATAGTACTCTCGAATATCAAATCGAATTTTTCATTAAACATTTTTACATATTCTTCTGGGAAACAAATTACTTGATTTTTGTCAAATATTAAAAGATCTCTAGCTAACTGTTGTTTACATTTATATAAAACTTTAAAACATTTTGCTTAATATTCAATTGAGAAAATAAAAAGAAAAACATGCTTTACTACAATATTTTTTTATCTTGAACTTCCTGCAAACTACTCGAGGGCTTTTTGTGCTAACCGTCCCTAATTAGGAAATAATAAACTAGAAAGAAGGCAGCTAGTCAACATCACCCATCAACAACTCTTGGGCTACTTTTTATCAACGAATAGTGGGATTAATTGTCATATTATTACGCCCCCATGGCTGAAAGGGGAGTATATTTAGTGACGGGATTCGAACTCGTCACCCTCAGGCTGCAAATCGAGTACCTTAACTATCAGGTCGTTCTATAATATTAATGTGTCGAGCTGTAGATTGATGGGTTTAGAATTCGAGACATGATACCAATGAAGAAGCTACGTGTTTTCTGTTGTGAGCGCATTATAAATGTGACAGTCGATTCCAGCATTCGGTTAAAAAAGCCAGACAAACCCTTTGTGGCGGCGACTGCTGCTTAGCTAGTTTCTCTACTTGTGGTCGGTAGTTGAAAAGTATGTCCTGCTATACCAGAACCCTAGGCTCTTTGATATGGCGATATAGCTTTTGTATTGTTCAGGCTGGAAAAATAGTAAATCGAACTTTAGAGGCAAGTAGAGGAATTAACATACATCGTATTGTCAATTGTGCTTGCTCGTAAGACGAATATCTTCAGTTGTTTTTTCTTTTTGTCTATTTTTCTCATTGTTTGGGGTAATCCACACAAGCGAAGCGTGTTCTAGCTTATATAATTCGTCAGCCAATCACCCAGTCAGTCAATTCACCCAGTGATCTAATGGCTCACGTGATCACAAGCAACAACTCAATCTTCTGGAACACACACATATATTGTACACCGTGTGCATATATATATATATATATATATATATATATATATACACATGTACATTTTGTTCTCCCTGAATATGGAAACAGACAAGTTGACAAAAAGGCAATGCAATAATGTGTAAGTACGCTATGTTTAGCATTTGATAAACACAAGTTGGCATTTAACGTAACAACAAGATAGCAGCTATTGCACAAGCTGTGGCTACGAAAAAAAGAAAAATCAGTATCTTTAGTCATTTGCCATAAAGAGTGAAACAACAACAAATTAATTTGTATGTATTATGTAACATCTACAACAACAAATTAATTTCTAGGTATTATTTAACATTTACAAGTCGATAAACGGTCTGATGCTCATAAATTTTTACTGGAGTGGAAGTCAAAAGTTCATGTCTACACGAATTGCACTCATAGCTCAACATTTTTACAGGAATGGATCCTCAATTGTTAACGATTACGCACAGAGCAAGACTCGCAAGTCAACATTTCTACTTGGATGGGCCATCAAAAGTCAACTTGTACACAAAGTGGCACTCATAAATCAATATGATTCTGGGACGGAGAGTCAGAAATCAGTACTCACATATAATGTGGCATTTATAGCTTAACATTTATGTTGGGACGAATAGTTAGAAGTCAGTGTTTACATATGGCTTATAGCTCAACCAGATTTTCATCGTGGTAAGCCTTCAGACTTGCCGCTGAGCCACGGGGAAGGGGGGGGGGAGGTACAAGCATACATAGCTTGCATATATAACGAAGAGATCTCTCAGGATTCATTTATATCTTCTTTTTTTTATATACTCGAAAGATATGAGACCGTATTACTTTACCGTATTGATAAACCTGTTCCATTTCAAGGCCCACAAGTTCTGTTAGCTATTTAGTCGACATCTTAGGTTTTCAGTCACGTGATACACGTACTTTATGACTGAAGAATTTTGTTCTGTGTCAGAAAAAATGACTTAACAGACTTTAGATATTTGCTGTGGATAGTAACGCATATAAAGCCTGCAAAAATTGGGCAAATTCACCCTGAAGTAAATAATTATTCAATACTTTTATAAAGTTTATTAGTTTATATGTATCGTATTTTTCGGAATATAAGACTCACCCTTATTTTGAAGACAAAGTTTTGGGGAAAAAAGCTACAGTCGCATTTGAAAGATTTTTATTGAACAAAAATTCAATTTGCTACTTTAAAAATTATTATATATTGTTCTAAACACAAAAGAACTCAAAACATC